GATTTTGAGAATCCAGATTTAATTTATACCACTTCTCGAATATACTGTAACTCAGTGCGCCTGATGTCTTCTCTTAGAGCAGTACATGTTTTATAGGGTATTGGTTCCTTTACAAAAATGTATCTTTATAAGGATTTTTGTTTAGTTTAGGAATCTAGTATAGGTAGGTTGTTCTAAGTCATTTATGGTGACTAGAATGTTAACAGTATTAAAACTGAAAAATGATTTTGAAGAAATTTATCCATTGAAGGTGAACTATGAGTATACTAACTAGGATTTCCAGATGTTGAATAAAAGTTCTTCTAAAATACAGATGTGATATTGAGTCTTACGAACAAAGACGAAGTTGTTACAAGCTTGTCATCTGGAACCATTTCTTAGTATTTACTTGATATGTTCAGTTTCGACACTTCTGACAATGTTTTTTTTCTACCAGGGTCCATATCCTTTGAAGTAACAAACATTTTCGTTTTAAATATTATCTTTTACACACTGTTCTTATATTTTATTTGTGCGGAATTCTGCTCAGCAAATTTAGAAGCACTTTGTCCAGGAACAAAATTTATGAAATAGAATGAGATGGTAGTTATATCTCTCTAGCTAATGTAGTTCTTATACATGTTAACAATTGTGAAATAATTATAGAATCTCCTTCTATCTATTATCATAATGTTGTTTTATGATAACATCATTGAAAGGGCACGAAGTTTCATAATTACTGCGTGCATAGGTTTTAACACAACATGTTATGTCAGCTAAGGAATGAAAGTGTAACGTTGAAATTTTGTCTTATAAAAAATGAAGAGTCTGTAAGTTTTACCAAGACACAATTCAGTAAATACATGATTTGCAATTGCCCTAACTATTTCAAAATTTAACGAGCCATAAAGATATTGCATGTATGCTGCGTAGATATTTTGTCAGGGTACTGCATAGAAGCTTTGTTTTAGAATTATAAATGATATGAAATATACTTTATTTCAGAGATGAGAAAGCAGGACTTTTACAGGATATAAGCAAAATCCAGAGGATATCAATAATATTTTGAAATGATGAAAGTACGAGAGTTGTACATACACTGCATAAGGATATGATATGGATTTCGTTTAACTGCCTATTTCGTTTTTTTTAACTTATGTCAGGGTTTTTTTCACTGAAGCGAAAATGAAAATGGAGAAAATTAACATTGAATATATAATGAAGAAAATCGCGTAACATAAAATTTTATTTTCATATTAAGGGTGGGGACCAATCTACTAGACAGAGAAAACCATAGATATTAAGATTAGCAAGACTAATAATCCTCTAGCAAGATTCTAGCTTTATCTACCCTGATTTATGTGGGACTTTGCGTCTGCGCACTTTGATCGTTCGTATTCCTAAATGAGAAACTTCCTTTTGCAAAGTGTGACAATCATTTTCTTTATCTGTGTGCTTTATTAGTAGGAATGTTAAAAAAGAACGTTTTGCACAATATATTTGAAATACTCATCTTTAATGGATGTTTGTTTATGCTGAGTTATTCTACTTTCGTTTTAGATTCAAAAGGCATTTCTTTCAATAAACGAAGACATTTCCAAGCTGGGTTCCATGCGTGAGTAAACCATAGCGTATCGGAATTTATTGTCAGATAATTTTTGCTTAGAATTAGAGCACTTAACCACGATTACGTTGAATCCATTCTTTCCAATGGGAAATTAATTTTATATTTTTATGCAAAATTGAACATACATATTTTCATACGTTGTCTATATAGAGTAGGATGATTTTTTTATATAATGTTTTAATATGTTTATCTTTTTTAAAGCTAGCTCCCAGAAAACAAAAGAATAGAAAACATGCACTTACAATGCTTATCACGATTTCCTACAGATGTAATAGGATTCATAATAAATATATATTTTGTATTTCCAGTCTGTAAGGAAATTAATTTAAATGCATATATATATATATATATATATATATATATATATATATATATATATATATATATATATATATATATGTGTGTGTGTGTGTGTGTGTGTGTGTGTGTGTGTGTGTGTGTGTGTGTGTGTGAGGGTGTGTGTGTGTGTGTGTGTATTTGTCTAATTTTGATGTGTTTGTAGGGAAAGAGGAGGCATATATATATATATATATATATATATATATATATATATATATATATATATATATATATATATATATATATATATATATATATATATATGTATGTATGTATATAAATAGTGTATTTTTAGGTTCCTATTATTTATACTTTGTAATCAAAGTACAACATATTTATATATCATTATGCACTAAAATTTTGATTAAAGAGGCTGGGGGGTTGTGGCCATTTTTAGACTATATTGATCTCCTTTAGAAGAAGAGCTCCATATGAAGATATAGAAAATGATCAAATTTTAAAACTAAAATTTTTGAAATTTTTCTTTGCCAAATGATAGTTGACAGCTTAAGATATCATATCTAAAAAAATAAGTTAAATCTGGTGGTTAATTTGTGGTTAATTTGTTGACCCCCCAGCCTCCTTAAATGTTTCTCTTTTTACAAAATTTATTTCCATATGGATCAGAGAGAGAGAGAGAGAGAGAGAGAGAGAGAGAGAGAGAGAGAGAGAGAGAGAGAGAGAGAGAGTAGATAAGTAGTCGTAGGAGGAAGTTGGATAGTTGGGTATATGGAAACTATACATTTGTTCATGATTCAAGGAAATGCAAAGAAAACAATATTTTTATTTCTTGTTTTTACAGATCTAAAGATATGTTTGCGTGAAAATGAGCAAATGGATTCCTATTATCAAAACTCTGCTTATGTTTACAATATTTGAAAAGGTACGTATTAGCAGAAATGAAACCTAAATAAGGAAAATATGACGCTTGGTTTGTCATTGGAATGGTGCGGTATTGAAAACTTACAGGACAGGCGTTAGTTTGAAAACCGATGCTAAAAAAAGCATTAATTCAAGTTTTTTAGTTGAAATAATTATCATAGATCATGGAAAAGTGTTTTAGCTGTATATTAAAAGAATTATGGAACTAATATTGGTGAATATTTGCACTCGTTGGCTGTGCAGACAATTCATGCCAATATTCACCAATATAAGTTCAATAGCCATATAATATATATATATATATATATATATATATATATATATATATATATATATATATATATATATATATATATATATATATATATATATATATATATATATATATATATATATATATATATATATACTGAAACGCAAAAGAAACGCAACATCATATTTTCGGAGGACATATTACATATAAGATATAATTTTTTATCTAAAAAATAAGGACATCTTCAACTTTGTAAATAGTGGTAATTTAACGGTTGAATGATTTTCATACCATTACCGTAAGTTAAGTTTGAGTCTGCTTAACAGAAATCAAAAATTGCATGTTTAACAAAACATTTGGCAATAATATGGGGTTTTAAGGATTTGTATCTGTTCATCATAAGTAATGCAGCATCCGAAGAATAAATTCCCCTTTCTTTTCCGTAAGCGACGCCAAGGCTTGCTGAAAATGACTTAAGCAGGCATTTCCATTGCTCTAGCTGGACAATCTCAAACTAAAGATGATGGAGAGTTGCAGATGCAAATATGACCCACATCACGCCTCAACAGACTCTTACGTATCATTAGCATGAATGACACTCCTTGGACCGGAAGTCCAAGGGTTACTATACTGCGCTTGGCTAGAGAAAATTCGACCTCATTGTCCGAAAAACAGGCATTTAAAATTGGTAAAGAATATTTTTTTCGCTCAGATCTCGAGATTGATGAACCTATTGCATCGTAGAAATCAAGCTGCAACTGTTGTACATGGCAGTCTTGCACGCTGTAATTGAATGGCCGGGGTGGGGGTGTTTTAACAGTCATATGTTACTTTCTAAAGGTAAAAGATAATCATATAACTCTTTCATCAAATCTCTGATGTTTTCAAATCAAGTTTTACCTTAGTGTATTTATTTTTGAAAATCATTAGATAAAAAAATTCAAATATTTGTAGATTACTGCTTGTTGCGTTTCTTTTGCGTTTCAGTATATATATATGAGCAAAAACTTTTAAAATTTCCTAAGAAGAAAGATCGGTGCATTGTGAGTAGTCATATTATTATGCAAGTATTTCAGTGTGTTTCAGATTTATCCTATATTTTATAAATTTTGACTAATTTGGTTTGGGCTACAATAATCTTTATTGATAAGCAGATATTCATTTTTTTTTAATCCAGTTTTTCCCCATCATATCAACCTTGGATTTGAATGGCATTTTAATTTGGGATAGTTTTTCTTAAAAATCATTCAGATAGCAAGGATATTAGATATTTTGACATATTATGTTGATGCAAGTCTTCATTTAAATAATGACCTCTTTTGGTTAAGGTGTCGTAAGTTTAGTGTTTATGTATTTTTTTTTCGCAATTAAAGATAGATAACTTTCAAAATCTTCTAAAATACCTTTGTTAAGGTGTGCATTAGGTGTGAGTTATTAAATTTTCATTCCATTGATCATTTCAAACGTTGTATTAAGGGACCATAGAGTCCCTTTGGACTCTTTTTATTCTAAATCGTGTACAATTCAACTTTATGCATTGTGTAGATGAATTTATGATGTTAGTTCAGGATTAAAAAATGGGGGAATGAAATATATGAAGATAACGAACAGTATACAAGCTCAAAAGTCCATTAAACAATACAAAGCAGGAGCAGAGCAAACACAGATCTCCAAAACATCAGGTGGGATCAAATGCCATGGAGGAGTGAGCATCCCCTGCCGACCTGTCACATCCGCCGTGTGCTCCTTGTCATAATCGGGAAAATAACGGAAAAATCAGTGTGTAAATAATGGCCTAACAATTAGTATGAAAAACGTCAGTCAGCATTTGACTCAGTGATTTTATTGTATTTGCTGACAAGGTGATTGTATCTACCATAGAACTTGCGAAATGAGGTGTTAATAAAATATCTTTATTTCTTCAGGATTGCATCGTGTGTCTATTAGAATCGTGTGACTATTCCTTGGGTACAGTAGAGTATGTAGTCTCCTGTCCCTCCAACAAATTAGAAGCAGCACAGTCAGCTTTGCGCAAAAATTGTGAGCACCATGCAAGACTACAATCATGCACAAATCCGAAAAATTTCAAATACCATTGCGTTATAAATGCAAAAGGAGACAAAAATATTGAAGTTTGTGCACCTGGAAAGAAGGTTAACGGTAAATTTTATTCGATATTTTAGAAAATATTCAGATAGAATTTTAGAAACAAAATCGTTTTTAAAACAACAAAGGATAAGATATAAATGATTCAATCAAGTTTCATGCATTTGATTACTTTTAGCTAGTCTTTTGTTAGATTATTACGAAAAAACATGTAGATGTGGTTGAAGGATTGTGTAAGCAAGAGTGTTAACTAAACACAAGCATCACATATTCTCTTTCTAGATCTATCAATTATTGATACAATCGATTCTCAACGTGACCGAGCAGCAGTTTGTTAAATAATAAAAAAAAGTAATATTACATGAATAGAATAAATTAAGGTTTCATAAACTTTTCTAGATATACATTTTTGTAATCCGGAAGACTGGCCTGATCTATGGATATAAGTTAGTGTTGTGTGTGCGATATTTTCCCGGGAGGCGTTGGGTGGATGGGGATTATTAAAAATTAATGTATAAATATGCTTATGAGATATGAAACCGTTTAAAATGAAAACTTTTAATGATTATGTTTTGTTATTCCTAAAATATCTACTTCTAGGAATTTATATTCTGGGAAGGTTGAACGATACGTTTAGCTAGTATAAATATGTTCGGTTTTCAACGTAAGGGAAATGATTCTTAAAATGAATAAAGTCACATAATAGTGTAGCGATGAGATTGATCTGCTTTCAAACGTTTACATATATGCCAATATAAGACTAAGTTTTACTTAGTATAATTATTTTCTAGCAGCAATTGATTGCATTTGTTTACCGTACTGTACATCAGATGAAAAAGTCTGATATTAATCAAACTTTGTGTTAAATAAATGTCTACATGTATCAGTGTAAATCCAAATACACAATTTTAATGTTTAATTGAAGGTTTTTGTACAGAGTTTGACACCGAAGCAGCAATCATTCAAGACAACTACCACTTTGATTGCACAAATTATACTTCACCTTGTCCAAGACAGTACAACTCAACAGAGGCCTATTTATGTAAGTCTTAAGGTCACCTGAGTCATTCAGGTGACCCACTGCCATCTAATTTTATCTGCCGTCGTGCGTCATGCGAAGTCCATTCATCATCGTTTATAAACTTTTTAAGCATTTTCAACTTCTCTTCTAGGCCTTATGAACCAATTTCAAGGAATTTTGGCATATATCATCAACCCTTGAAAGAGTAAGAATCTTATGATCCCCGACCCTCTACGGCCTGAGAGGTGGGGATAAAATCATAAAAATTAGTGTTTTTTCACGAAATCTTCCTTACGAGTTGACACCATGCAGCCAAACTATTAACATAGATGTAGTTAACATTGAGTCTTAGCTCAACTTAAACTTCAAAATTCATGGCCCTGGTTTCAGGGTTCTTAAGTTAGGTATTGCATGACAGCGAATACAATCTGTCATTAGTTCCGTTATTTCCGGTTGACAGAGGATGGTCACTCCTCCATGGCACCTGATCCCACCTCTGATGTTTTAGAGGTCTGTGTTTCCTCTGCTTCTGATTTGTATTGTTTGAATTGACTTTGGACTTGAAAACTGTGCGCTATTTCCATTTATTTTATGATTTCAAATGGAATTTTAACACATTCAATAAAGTTGTCACCAAAAATTATTTTTTAAGAACTTGAGAAATTATTGTCCATTTGACTGAATCGAACGTTTTTTGGAAATCAAAAAAAAAAAAAAAAAAAAAAAAAAAAAATCCTTCACTATCATTTTCCATGCACTATTCTAAAATTTCTAATATTAATCTTGCATTTATCGCTATAAAAACCTTTGATACCGTAAATACTGATATTGCATTTCTTACGAGTTTGTTTATAGCCTTTTGTATTTTTTTTTTTTTTTGCAAGAGCGAACGCTAAAATCTTGTAAAGTCTATTTGTTTAATCTCAAAGATCTGTAATTTAAAGTTTATCTTTGTTGCCTTTTTAAAATAAATGAGTGATGAGCGGAAACCACTAGGTAAATGGTGATTCTTGTTTAATGAATGCCCCCTAACAAATATAGGATACTGCATGCTTTGTAGTTGAATATGGAATTTATTTCACGAGTGGGACAGGATTTTTTTTTTATATTTTCACGAGTGAACATGAAAGAAATCCTGTCTCACGAGTGAAATAAATTCCATATTCAACAACAAAACATTGAATTTTCTGTTTATTACATTTCCTTTGGTTTTTCTTTTGCCTTTGTCTTTTTGTAATACAGTCTCATAGGCTACATGACGTCATAGTTGAGCGGTTGAGACGTCATAGCTAAATGATGTGAGATTGAAATTTCTGTAAACATGAATTTCAACGACATATTGGAGGAATTTTGACAGTTTTATTCTCTTTCAAAATAGTTTATTTACCTTCTCTATCTTAAAACAGGGCAAGGAGTACCTTTTACAACATTCCTAGTTATGAGAAGGAAAACGAGAGTTTTACCGCACTGATATTTATGATATTTGTCACACCGTGAAAGGATATCATTTTGATATCATTTCACAGTGTGACACAATATCGTTTTTATTTCATAAATTAATTTCAGTATTTCACTGTTAAAAATGTAATTATACGTTATAAAAGAGAGGTCTGACGATTTAAAAAAAAAAAAAAATAATTTTTATAAAAATTATCAAATTATCCATTTAGACAGGACGATCTATTTTTAAATCATGAAAACTTACACGTCTGCACATTCAATGTGTCCCAAAAATTCCTTCTAGCCAATAAAAGTCTTATAAATGTGATAAGATTATAACCATTGTATCATTTGTTTTTTAGTTTATATATTGTATAGTTTTTTTGACTGAAGTGAAATTGTTTTTTTTTTCAAACTTCGCTTTCTATTCACATCAATATCTGAAAAAGGCAAAGGTTCTTTATTATACATTTCTTCTCAATCAATTTATTAGATAATATTTTACATTATGCTTTAATTGTTTGTGCATTTTATAGAAAATTACGAACACAAGTAACCTACACTTCTTTCTAGCACGCTTCATGAAAATGCTTTCATGAGAAGTCTGTGAGATTTACACACCAATAACTCACACAAAACTCAAAAACATTCCTTAATACACATGTAAGTTATCGTCTATTTTAACATTATCCGGAATTTTTCTTTTCATCAATAAACTTGTGTAAATTTAAAACATGTACATTGCATTCTATGTTAAAAATAACATTCCTAGGGAAATTGAAAAACGCAGGCACTGATTAATCATAATGCCCCAGCATTTTGTTTGAAAAAAAAGTGTTATTTCTGGTTTACTGTCTTCTTACCATATAAAAATTGTCCCTTTCTTAGTCAAATAAATGGCTTTTGCATTCATAAACTCCAAAATGTATTTTTTCCATCTGTGAGATATTTCGGTGGATATTTAATTATATCCACCGAATTGTTAATAAAAAAGTTATTGTTAAGCATATGTTAACCTTATTTAAGTCTGATATTTTGAGAAAGAGATACAAATACATTTTAGTTTGCAATAATAGTATATAATTCAATTATTGGTTTGATAGAAATTGAGAGAATTTGATAATATATGATGAAATGAGGTAGAAAAATATAATATACATGTATACCTAGGCGAGTAATTGTCATTCGTTATTTCCCACAAATGTATTCAATTTTAATAAAAACTTGCAGATTTTTCTAACATATTCAAAATTAAATATAGATACACTTTTATGCAGATAAAGAATGCTATAAATGCAATTGGGAAGCCAAAACAACTTCATCTAACAATCACTCGACCGAGAAAACTCCGTAAGTATTATTTCACACACCCCTCTCAATTCATGTAGCTATATCTTGTTTATGTTGTGCATTTGTTTACGAAACATCAAAAGTTATATAAGATTTTGAATCTTATTAATCTAGTTTTAGTAACAGCATCACGAAAAACATTAAAAGTTCTTTTTTGATCCTGTGATCTTGAAAAACCTTACTTGGTATTTGGCAAGTTACCAGTTTATTCAAGAATGCATTGTCATTATAGAAATGACAAGTCTAATTTCATTGATTACAATTTGTAAAGTAACTGATCAAATTTTATTTTTTAAAAGCATTCATAAAATATTAAGCTCTGTTTTTACAAGTGAGATTTTCCTTGTTAAATAATATTTTCAATATCTAAAAGGATTTCAATATTAATTTCCAAGTTTTTTAATCGGAAATAATGATGGTGAAAGTATAAAAACAGCTTTAAAAATCTGTTTTCTTGCTACAGAAAATTCTGATTGTTTTTAGAAAATAATAGATCAATGCATTTTTGTTTTATTTAAATATTGATAGAAGTTTTTTCTCATACCTTAAACTATAAAATTAATTTTTTGAAATATGTAGCTGAGGACACTGCTTGAAAAAACACCTTTACAAAACTTAACTTGCAAAGTAAATCTAATTAAAGGTGCTCCAAAAAGCAAGGTCATCTTTGTATCAACTTTACAAAAAGTAAAGGTGAAAAGGTAATCTTTACTTACACTAAAAGGTAATTAAATTTAACCTTTCACCTTTAATGCTGCATTAAAGTTGATATATATATATATATATATATATATATATATATATATATATATATATATATATATATATATATATATATATATATATATATATATATATAGATAGATAGATAGATAGATAGATAGATAGATAGATAGATAGATATGAATTTTTTTTAAATCCTTATTTAAATATTGGCTTTTTTGTTTAATACACTCGTACTTAAGATTTCAACAAATGGTTTTTAACTTTTAATAAATAGGTATCTGATGTGTCTATTGTGTTACCCCCACACCATTTTTGTTTAACTCGATCTTACTAAAAACACACAAATTTTCAAGCGTTATATCAATTTCCAGTTGTATTTAGTATTAGAGATTGTCACCTACAAAATATAAGCTCTTTTTTATTTGCTTTTAGTGTAGATATATTGAAACCTTTTCTGTTATAATTTCTGCTTCATAAATATCTACCAAAAACAGTTACAAACATTACAAGATTAAATCTTTTACTAGAACAGGCAATAAAATGACAAATAATAAAATTAAAAGGTTTAAAATACAATACATTATTTATCCTTTATGGTGCATGTACATGTGTTAAAACTTTGCAGTTTAAATGGAACTAAAAATGCCATACTCAGTTATTACTTAAGACCACTGATGAGAAACTACACAACATAAATCAGGCAAAGTACTAGTATTTCCAATTTAAACCATTGAAGGCTATCTAATGAGTATTTATGTACAGGTTAATAATGTTGACATCTTGTAAGCATAATGGTGCAATTTACATATTAACAAAATAAAGAAAAAAAATGCTGAAAAACCTATTAGAATATAGGTTCAGATGTAGTTTTGCAAGATGCATAATGGTGCAATTTACATATTCACAAAATAAAGAAAAGAAATGCTGAAACACCTATTAGAATATAGGTTCAGATGTAGTTTTGCAAGATGCATAAGTAAATGCATGTGTCCAGCTTCACACAGTGAGCCTGTTTGGGCTTGACTTTATACTTTGGATTAAATGTTACATGTGTATTGTGTCTGTGGTAGGAGATTATGTTTGCATTGTGTCCATCTTCATACACCTTGAAACATATGTAACTGGTTGTGGTAGATGCTTGAGTGATTGTGTATGTGTCCAGCTTCACACATTTTCATGTATGTGCTCGACTTCACACGCCTTGGAAAATATGTAACTGGTTGTGGTAGATGCTTGAGTATTTGCGTATGTGTCCAGCTTCACACATTTTTATGTACGTGCTCGACTTCACAAGCCTTGGAAAATATGTAATTGGTTGTGGTAGACGCTTGTGTGTTTGCATATGTGTCCAGCTTCACACATTTTCATGTATGTGCTTGACTTCACACGCCTTGGAAAATATGTAATTGGTTGTGGTAGATGCTTGTGTGTTTGCATATGTGTCCAGCTTCACACATTTTCATGTATGTGCTTGAATTCACACGCCTTGGAAAATATGTAACTGGTGTTGTGGTAGATGCTTGTGTGTTTGCATATGTGTCCAGCTTCACACATTTTCATGTGTGTGCTCGACTTCACACGCCTTGGAAAATATGTAATTGGTTGTGGTAGATGCTTGTGTGTTTGCATATGTGTCCAGCTTCAAACATTTTCAGGTATGTGCTCGACTTCACACGCCTTGGAAAATATGTAATTGGCTGTGGTAGATGCTTGTATGTTTGCATATGTGTCCAGCTTCACACATTTTCATGTGTGTGCTCGACTTCATACGCCCTGGAAAATATGTAACTGTGGTTGTGGTAAATGCTTGAGTGTATGCATATGTGTCATGCTTCAGAGAGAGATGTTTTGTGTGCTCTTTTCTACAAGATAATTAAGATTATTTAAATATACTCCGAATACATCTTTTAAAGAAATGGATAATCATAATGAGTTACATACTAAGTTCCTCAGTGCATAATATACACAATTTTACTGAAATTAAACTTGTGCAAAAACTCTCTTGCTGAATAACTTTCATTATTATAAATGCTTGAATGTTCATCTATAGATTTTCAGATATTTTCGAGTCAGTGTATATATTCTTGATCACAATGGTATCCATATTTGATTCCCCTCTCTGTCATCTTTTCTTGGTCACCGATTAATTCAACAGCAGGATGGGTACTCAGATCTCTCTGGTGTTGGACAAAAGGAGGTGCTAATAATAAACATAATCTTCGAAATTATAGATAATAACATCCATTTCTTTTCCAGGTTTGCATTAATTAGTTATCTTTTGAAATTAAAGCACATCTGCAATATCCTTGAAAATTTGCCAAGATACCTAAAATGTTTGTAGCATGCTTTAACTACTTTAATTTTATTTTTGGAAGTTTAGAATAATAGAAAAGTGAGTTCAAATATAAAAATAAGATGTAAAAGATCTTAATAATGAAGATTCATTTACACAATGTGATAAACATTGAAGTCAACTCCTCACCTGACTTGCTCGTAATTTATCTTCAAAATGGAGTTGATTCTGTGATGATCACTTTCAATCATTTGAAAAAAACTTCTTCATCTCAAACTATTTGAAGGTCATCCATCTTCCCAACTGCCACTCACCCAAAGTGTACCAAGACCTCTGACCTGTATAATATCCAAATTCAAGATTAAAATAAAAAAAAAATCTCTTCACCATATTGGTCTCTTTCAAAAATGTGAGAAAATAATTTTAAATACTTTTCTAAAGATGGAATAATGTAGTGAGTATCTAACAATGTTTAAAAATATTTTGATCTCTGTACAGTGATAACATGAAAAAGTCATGTCCCTTATATTTGAAAAAAAAACTTCCATTCTTAAGGACATTACCCAACACAGAAATAATGTACATTTGTCTCTGGCACAATCAATCCACAAGAGACATTTCCATACTTAGCACCATGCATTAGCTCTCCACTCTTTGTTTCTACAAAAGATAAATTATGAAAACGTAATTTTTTGACAGCTAAGTTAGATTAATTATTTTCCAGCCAGTGATGAACAGAATATTTGATTTCCTTAAAAATCAGGGACAGATTATTCATGTTTATCTATAATGAACAAAGTTTGACTCCCCCCCCCCCCCATTGCCACTACAAAAGGAAAAAAAATAAACTGACTCAGAAACTTTTAGTTCAGTGAGGAAAAGGCAATAATGGCATCAGACAAGGAAAGATTATTATTCATTTTTTCAGTTGAGATGAGATTATATCTTTTAAACATTTTTTTTTTTTTTTACATTTTTGAGGTTAATATATCTTTAACCCCCCCCCCCTCCCCGCATCAAACAAAAAATAGTCGCCCCTTTATTTATCTGTCCTAAATCTATAACAAAATTTTTATTATGATGATATTTTTTCATTTTAATTTATTATATCCTGACACTGATACTCAGTGGTAGTAGATGCAACAAATTAAGAGGTGACCCCTCTTCTTCCCTCCCTCCCCTAGATGTTTCGTCTGAAATGTTAAACGACTCTTGTTCAATATCTTGAAAGACAGAAAACAGTTATACACAACAAATAAGCACATTTTCATTACCTTGCAGTCAGTGTCGAGTGACATACGTAAACAACATTCCGCAATCTCTTTCAGTCCTTGTTTATTCTTGGCGGAATTTTGTGGCCTTGTAGACTGGTTCCCATACATTGGAAGTGCCCTGAATAAGTCATACGCTTATTAGTTTTGTTTATAAGAGGTAATATCAGTAATATGTCCCGTTCATTTGACAACCTTTACTTTAAAATACTGAATTATATATTATCATATTATACAGATGTTTCCACCTCAGTATTGTGTAATCCTCTTCATCTTAGTCTTCTCGAATACAAAACGAACGATCTACTTTTAATAGTAACCCAAATATGGCACTGTGTATTCGGTTGAATAGCCAATCATTTCAAATTAAGTTGAGCGGGTCTCATCGGATTTTCTGGTATTTTTGACGAAAATATGCAACCAGTGATCAGTTGACTTGATACTTTTTCATCTGCCGGTAGAATTAAGGAGCTCGAGGTTATTGCTTGGAAAACTGCTCGAGCTCCGGGGCTGGCATGCACTGCAGGTTTGTTTACGTTTTCCATCTGTTTTCAGCATACATTGTGGAACATTGAAACTGATGAAAGTAAGGAAAAACTACGCTAAATATGTATTTTAGATAAGTAACTTGATAAATTGGGGATGATGTTCCATTTTTTTCTATAAAGGATCATGGATCAAACAAGACCAAGAAAAACAATTCTAGGTCACAGTTTTAGAATGTTTAGCAGTTTACATTAGTGCTAGAAAAA